AGCCGGGGACACCCGGGCTGGGCGAGGGCGACGATGCGGGCAGGGTTGCTCCGGCCACGCCAGGCTGCGCCCTGAGGCTGCGAGGAGTCACCTCGGCCCGGAGGGCCAGGTCCGCGGTGGGGGGCGAGGTCAGAGTTCGGGCCCCGGCAGGGCGCCCCGAGGTTGCGGAGAGAGGAGCGGGCGCGCGGCCGCGGCGGCGGGGCTGCGGGTCGCCGTGTGCGTCCACCTGGCCCGGGCCGCGCCGCCCCCTTCCCCCGTCCGCGCTGCCGGCGCCTCTTCTCCTGCCTCCTGCTCGGTCTCCTGCTGCTGCGTAAGGAAGCGCCCCGGCCTCAGGCAGGCAAACGACAGCCGTTGAGAGGCTCCCGGGTCCTGTGTGTCAGGAACGCGGGGACTCTCTGCTCCACGACGTCGGGCCGAAGGTGGGAAGACACGGATGGCCTGGAGGGACTCTGGTGGCTGGGCTGGAGTCCCCTGGGGACTTGCGCCCTGGCGGGGGTGCACCCTCATTGGGAACGGCTGGGCTCAGCAGGGACGGTTAGCCAGGGCACCTGCCCGGCCGCCCCAGCGGGTTGGCCTCCGGGTCCAGCAAACAGGGCAGAGCACCTACAGCCACCCCACTCCAGGTCTGCCGCACACTATCACAGGCACAGGTCTGTAATACCGTCTCTCCGTCCCCTCTTTTATTTTAACTTCAAGCATAGAATCGAGTTGGCCACACCCCACCGTTTATATCTGCCCTGCAAACAGCACCCGAATCTTTTCAAACCTTCTTCCTCCCCATCAACTCCTGTTCTCATCCCCTCCCTCCTCCAGTCCACTTTCCACATTTGTTATCCGCGTATTCATTAAAACGTGTATCAAGTTGTGTGTATTTTAAACATTGCAAAAAATATATTTAAGAAAAGAACCTCTAACATGCATGTCATGGGGTGAGGATGTACATTTTTTTTCCTTTTTAAAATTTTAATAAATTTAGGGGGTACAAGTTGAAAAAAAATTACAGTAATGGTACTGTTTTATATAGCTCATTCTGTTTCTTGTATTTCCGCCGAACCACGTATCTCTACATGTATGTTTCTTGCTGCGTGTGCTCTGATGCCTCCCTGCCACTTTTCATTGCCCGGTACCCACATTTGCACATCCATCCAGCCCGTAGACACCACCTGTATCCTGGTGAGCCGGAGACTTAACGGGCACAGTAACGAACACGACAGAGAAGGTTCCTCCTTTCATGGGTTATGCTCTACTAGGCAGAGACAAACGAGAACGTGTAATCATTTCGGCTGGCGGTAAGTGCTGTGAAGAAGGTAAAGCGGAGTGATGGAAAGAGTGATTTTGGGAGGCTTCAGCTAAAGTGGTAGCTCTCTGGGGAGGTGATGTCTGTTTGACACATAAACAGGGCCGTTGGAACGCAAGCGTCGGAAAGCATCTGGAGAGATGCATTTGGGTCGCTGTCTCCTTTGTGGGTCTGCAGGTAGGCAATGTCCTCTGTTGATCTGGAAGCCAGCAGGTGGAGGGACGGGAAGAAGGCAGACAGAGCAACTGAGGGACAAGCTGGGATCTGCCAGACACTTCCGTGCCATCTGCCACCACATCTAGCCTTTCCCACCCACCCACCATGGCAGCCCTCTAGAGAGTAATGTCTAACCCCAGCCACAGAGGGAAAGAGGTTCCGGGAGCAGGGCCCTCAGCTTAACCGAGTCGACATTAGAACAACCCAGCAGTGCCCCGCTCATGACAACTCAGCATGCACACTTCTTGTTAAAACCATAGTTAGCTTACAAGCAAAAGCAAAAGGAAAATTGTGCTTCTGCTTAAAATGATGCAACTATCTCAACCCAAACTAGGCTGTCTCTGCAAAAGAAACTGAACGAGTTTCATATCGTTTTGTCCATATTTGGGTGATCCTCGTTCTTCTAGCTGAGTGTCTGTCTCTGAGCGTCTAACACGTAGACACTCCCAAAGACAGTGAGAGTTACATGGCACAAACACTGAAATGTAGGTTAGCCGTTATTAATACATGTTATGTTAGGGGAATGGGAGGGGGAAAAAGGAAGAAAACACATTTGTTAGTATATGTGCAAATATAACTCACGTGGCCGGGCGCGGTGGCTCACGCCTGTAATCCTAGCACTCTGGGAGGCCAAGGCGGGCGGATTGTTTGAGCTCAGGAGTTCGAAACCAGCCTATGTCCGTGACATAAGCACATAAATAAAAGATATATATTTCAGGTACAGGCACCTGAAAAAATTTTTTTAAAAAGGATAAAGTGGCCGGGCGCGAAATTAGCCGTGCATGGTGGCACATGCCTGTAGTCCCAGCTACTCGGGAGGCTGAGGCAGGAGGATCTCTTGAGCCCAGGAGTTTGAGGTTGCTGTGAGCTAGGCTGACACCACAGTACTCCAGCCTGGGCAACAGAGTGAGACTCTGTCTCGAAAAAAAAAAAAACAAAAAACATGACTCGTGAGGATAAGAAGTACTCAGCATCACTACAGTCCTGTGGTCATAGCTGGTGCCGTCTTTATAATTGTCCTCTTCTGTCACTCATTTGTGTTCCCTTTGTCCTCAGCAAGCACCTCAGCGGGTCGTGGCTCTTTGCCTGGTGGGGTGACCCAACCCATTCCTGCAAGGTTTGTGCCATTAGCAGCTTTGCCTGTAGGGGTGGTTCTGGTTTTCTATTGGCATTTTCTACAGAACTCGGAGCAAGGAACATCCTGGGGGATCTCCTGCCTCCAAACCTCCCCTCCTTATCCCCATGCTGTATAAAACCCCAAGCTCCCCTGGGTAGGACCACGCACCCCAGCCAGCACAGTGACCCTTGTTGGTCCCCTGGTGTGAGCACGCAGGTGGCCAGGTGACAGTCTCGGCTTCCAGTATAGCATGTGCCCTGGTGGAGATATTCTAGGGTTTGTCCAGGGCCAAGGGGTTCCTTGGATCTGGGACTTTCGGTTTTAAACCTGGGAAAGTCCCAAGCAAAGCAGGATGAGTTGGTTGCCTGGAATCTAAGACCTCTAGACCAGCAGAGTCCAAAGTTGCAGGGAAGGGAAGTGAAAATTTCACCTGAGGCTCATGAGTGAGAATGACCACGGAGGAAGCACTGCCGTCTCCACTCCTCCCCTCCTGCACCGTGAGCCCTGCCTTGGGGGGAAGCCCGAGATCTGACATTGCTTCTGAGTGTCTGCCTTTGTGGAAGACATTGCCCCATCCGTGGTGCTGCCGCTCAGCCAGCGCCAAGGCCGAGTCTCCAGAAGGCTGTTCCACTGTTCTGCCAGGACTGTGGTGAGCCCAGAGAGTCCCACGAGCATGGGCCTGTTGCTGCTCCCCAGAAAAAAGTGATGGTTGTGGGATGCGGTGAGGACGGACAAGGCATTCCATGGATGGTAGTTTTGGCAGATGTGCGGCAGGCAGGGAAGGCTCAAATTCAGCCAGAGCACGTCTGTCCTTATAGGAACATGGCGCTGCCCTGTCCGTGATGGGGAAGGGGTGGTGTCGGTCTGTGCCGTGGGCAGCTGGGCTGCAGCTAGATGGCCCTGCAGAGTGGAAGTCCAGGTCGCAGGTCATGCATAACCTCCATCCCCACCACTAAGGACAAAGGATGCTGAGGAAAGAGGCTGGCTGATGTCCACAAATGGGTCATTTTGTCCACCTGGGTATTAAGGTCCTCCTCTGTGGAGGAAGGTCTTTGGCGAGTATTCACATGGGATGTAGACTCCTTACTCTGTGCACGCCCAGAGAGGTCTGTCTACGTACCTTAGCCGAGACCTTGTGACTGATTTCCCAGTCATGTTCCTCCCTGGCGCTGGCTGTCAGTCAGACAGCTGGCCACTGCCCATGAGTCCGTGCAGATCTGTGCCTCTTCCAGGCAAAACGAACCACCAGGACCACTGCTGGCTGTCCCGCCCCCGACGGGTTTGCCTTCATCTCTGCCGTGCAGGCTGCACCTCCCCCTGCCCGGGTGGGGCTGTCGTGCCTTGGCTGCCCACTTCTGGGTGGTGCCAGCATGTTCTGCAGAACCCTCTGGACCAGGGCTATATCTGTTCTTTCTCAGTCAGCTCCTCATAAAGCCACTGGTCTGGGTTCAGAGGGGCACGGCAACGTGGCAGTAGCTACCTGTTCGTGCTTGTTCACTGTCTACTTTCTTGGGTCTCCAGCACCTGCTTGAGCTGACCACGCGTGGCCCACCTCCCTCGATGACAGTGTGCTGGGTGCACACCCAGCCCTGCCGTGCGGTTCGTGACGGCAGCCCCGGCTGTGTTACGGTGTTGGT